CATATTATATAACATATATATATACAATTATACATATAGTATACACTATATATACAATATACATATATAATACATATACATATACTATATACATATATATATACATATATCATATATTATACATATATATATGAATATATATACATATGATATATACATATATATATATACATATTATATTATATAGTATAGTAATTGTATATATACTATGTTTTTATATATGTATAGTGTATATGTATATATATGTTTATATAGCTATAATAATGTAATATGTATATATTATGTATATTGTATAGTATTATATGTATAATATATTATATGATATATTATTAAGTAATATTTGTATATATATGTATATATACTATGTAATATATGTAATATTGTGTGTATATATTATACTATAATATATATTATATGTATATATATATGTAATTATATATTAGTGTAATATATAATATGTATTAGTATGTATATATATATGTACTAATATATATGTATAATATATGTATTATTATTGGTATGTATTACTATAATGTTATAATTATATATATATATTTGTGTGTATATATATACATATATTGTGGTATTAATATACGATATACTTATATATATAATTTGTTATATTATAGTGTATATCTATATATGTATACTTATTATATGTATTAAGGATATATATGTATATATATATGTATATATATATTGTATATAGTTATATGTATATATATGTATTATATATACCATGTATATAATATATGTATTATCTTATAGTTATATAATATGTTATATTTGTGTGTATATTTATATATATATGTGTGTAATATATAGTATATTATAATATATTATATGTATATTATATGTATAATATATACTGTATAATGTATATTATTGTATAATATATGTATATCTATATAATGTAATAGTATATATGTATACTATATAGTGTATCTATATATATTTATTTAGTAATATATACATATATTATATATCTGTATAATTATAGTGCATATATCATGTATATATATATATGCATAAATATTATGTATATAGATAATGCATATACTATGTACAGTTATATATGCATATATGTGTATATATATATTGCATATATACGTACGTTATACTAGATAGTATGTGTGCATATATATGTACATATATCTATGCATATAGATGTATATATATATATGCTATGTACAATTATATAGGCATATATGATCGTATATATATGGCCGTATATATTATTCCGTATATAGTAATGGCATATATTCATATATATGTTCATATATTCATGATATTATGCATATATTATCATATATACTAGGTATAGTATTATAATGAGTAGTAGTATAATATACGTATATAGTTGATATAGTCTTTATATGGTATATGTATGGAATATAGCATATATTTATGAATATCTGTTGTGTATATATATATATGATATATATTATATATATATATCATACATTATATAATTAATATACATATATATATTATATACATAGTATATAGTATCTATAGCAACTATATATATATATAATATATACAGTATATATTTTATATATACATATTATATATATTATATAGTAGTATGTTGTGTGTGTGGTGTGTGTGTGTGTGTGTGTGTTTGTGTGTTTGTGTATATTATATATATATATATATAATAATATAATATATAAGTGTATGGAATATGTCTGTAGACTGATAGTATATATGTATGAATGACTTATATGTGTATATAATATATTATTATATATAAATAGTATAGTATAGTATAATATATATATATATATATATATGTGTGTGTGTTTGGTGTGTTTGTGTGTTTGTGTGTGTGTGTGTGTGTATGTATATATATATATTATATATATATATATATATATATATATATATATATATATATATATAATATATATATATAGATATGTATATATATATATAATATATATATATAAATATATATATATATATATATATATATATATATATATAAAAAAAAATATATATAGTATATATATATATATATATATATATGTGTGTGTGTGTGTTTGTGTGTGTTTGTGTGTTTGTGTGTGTGTGTGTATGTATATATATATATATAATAACATATATATATATACATACATATAATATATATATATACTATATATATACTATTATAAATATATATATATACAGCTACATATAATATATATATAGCTAATACATATAAATAATATATATATATATAAATACATATATATAATAACATAAGTACATATATATAATAACATAGCATACATACATATATATATATTAACATACATACATACATATATATATAATATACATATATACATATATATAGCATTACATACATACTTACATATATATATACATACACATACATTACATACATAATATAATATTATAGTATATATATATATTATGTATGTGTATGTATGTAATATATATATGTAATGTATGTATGTATATAATTAGTGTATATATGTATGTAATTTATAGTATGTATGTATGTATGTATAGTATATATTAATGTATGTATGTATATATATATATATGTATGTATGTATGTATGTATATATATATGTATGATATGTATATATATATATTTATATGTATGTTATATATACATATTTATATGTATGTATATATA